CGTTCAGCAGTTCACTACAGCACATACTAAGGCCTTTCAGTCGGCTGTCTTCACCAGTCATTGTCTGCTAACGGTTTCTATTGCTGTCAGTCCCTCAACTTCCATGATCATATCCTTACTGGCTGGCGACTATCTCACAACTAACTAAACACTAGACTTGTCCTGTTTGTAGCACTTTGGCACAGACCATACAGAAAACACATCCCCTAACAGTTCTTCTATTGTTGCATTACATAGCTTCCACATGGACTGTGTAGAGAACGCCACTTCCCAATTACTTATTGGTATGTGTTAGGAATCTGTTGCGGCCATTACCTAGCAATGGCCTTTATGTAGAGAGTCATTGCTTAGTAACAGGTTTACATGCTACGATATGTAGAGAGAAAAAATAGATGAACAGAAGGGTGAAGACTATGGTATTCTGGAATGTGACACCGTGTGGTCTGGTAGATAGTTCATAGTCACAACTGTCAGAAGCTCAGATCCCACGAAGAGAATGTTGACTGTAAAACTCCTTAGAAGTAGCCCACTTGAGGAACTGTTGTAAGATTGTGAAATTACCCATATAAATGGTTTAAATGTAATAAAAACAAGTGAAGCCATTTTCTAGAAAATTGACATGACACATTTGGGGCTCTGGAGGGTGTACCATTATTTTTTCTAAAGAATTCGCTATTGCAGTTTATGGCAGTGGTCTCCATAATTTACAGGGATTTCATCAGATTTGATATATTCGTTTTCAAGAAAAATGGAGTATTGTTTTGCTAGGTCTCTGTTTTTGGAAGTGTAATATTCATGCCCAGCGGATACTAACCTATGGAAAATAAAGTTTTAAATGCTGAATGAATAAAATTTTCCCAACAGTTCAGGTATACAGGCATACAGAGACAATCTGAATTCCAGAAACCACCTTTTCTTATTCAGGGGTGCAACAAACATATAACTATATCGAATTGCAAGATGTTTTTGTTTTTAGTGTCACAGAATTTTCTCATAAAATGATATACTGTGTATGTGAGAAAATAAATCAAGTGTAACTCATCATTTTAAATAATTTCACATACTTTAAAGCACTTGCACCCTGTAGCATATTTGCAGTTGTTACGTGCATTTAATGTTCCTTAAACCAAACTGCATGCTGTTGACTGATATAAATTACTACAAGCTGCCTTAAAGGCCTTAGATATTATACTTAAATGTGTATTTTAATTTGCCCATCAAGACTGCCAAGCATTTCTTTACTTCTGTGATCATCATTACTTTTAAAGCGTAAAATTTCTTTAGAATAAGTTAGAGAAGCAATCCATATTGTTTCCTGAATTAGTGATACAACACTGCTAACTTGCCTTCAAATAGCAACGTTGTTATAAGCGAAATGTATGTGGATCACGTGTATAACAACTTCTAAACTTTACTGTTTGTTCAAAATAATTCCATTCACAGTTGTAGTTATATTTGTTCTAAAAAGAAGTGACTTCCTCTGTAATCAGTCTAAGACAAATGGGATACCAATGCCAGTATGCAATATGCTGTTGATTTTAATAGGCCATTAAGTTTCCAATAATATAATGGTCTACTTGCTAGGGGTTGCTAGCATGGACTAAAAGTTAGTTTATGTTTGAACTAGATAATATTCCTGAAACATTTATTTTTGGGCAACAGACGTCTGTGATCTGGCAAGCTTATATGGGAATGTGTTTGAACTTTTTTTTAACTGTTTTGATGAGTGATGAATGGCAGATTGTCACTTTTTTTTTAATATGCGCAACTGTATTCCTTTATTCGAGACCAATTAAAACTAACTGAGCCCACAGAAATCGCTCTTAACTGTGTTAAGTGAACCTTTCTTGTCCAATACTCAAGTTTCTTATTGTTGCTAAGTTTGCGAGTATACCTCCCCAGAATGGGTCTGGATTTTCTACTGTTTGAAAAGCAACAGTTTTGTTTCTGGCCTATTTCAAATAATATTGAAATTCTGTTTATTCATAAAATTTTAATTAGTTTCTGGAAAAAAGAAACTTTAAGTGAAAGATTGTTTTATTTTCTTTAGATGGACTATTTTTACTTGTTAAACAAATGTATGCACAAGGATATGTGATCCACATATCATGTAAAATAGAAAGCTACAAACTTAACTTCATATTTATATCAAGTTACGTAAAGATAAATCTATCCCTGTAACGTGCTGTGGAAGCCCATAAGGTTGTGAGACATCAAGGTTCCTGCATTTTCTAGACAGTTGGCTCACAGATAGCATTGAGGTTGTCAGCCATATGCATCAGCTGCCCTTTACCCCCGAGAAGATTCCTGGTACTCATTTCTGTTAGAGGCTGAGTTGACCCCAGGGCCACGATGTTGCTGGAAGGAGTAAGACAATTGGAAAATTTGATATCCACGTCAGGTATCAAGCCTGCAAACTTCTGGCTTGTAGCATATTGCCTCAACCAACTACACTGCCACATTCCCCCTACTTACATATGTGCTGTCATATTTAAAACTTATTTGTATTACTTAGAGCAAACACAGTCTTCCCTAAAGTACTGGTATTGAGGGTGACATATTTTAAGTTTTTCAATAGAAAGCATTGCTACTTTGTCCAGAATTAACGAAAATAGGAACTGAATGTAAACAGTTTCAATCAGAGCACTGTTCCTCCACTGCACTCACATCCCAGAAAACAGTATTCTTCATGAACCCTGCTGTAAGAACCTCAGGTCTCACACAGTTTCATCTTAAACTGTTTCACTGCCATCTGTGAACCGATTGTCTAGAAAATGCGGCAACCTCTACGTCTCACAACCCTATGGGCCTCCACAGCCTGTTACAGGAATATAGCTTTACCTTTTTACACATACTTTATAATTGTTTCATGTAAACAAAACCATCTTTTTCACAACTGATTTTCCACTTTGCTTTAGCATATGCCATTAGGAAGGTCCAGGGAAACCAGGTAGAACTGAAATTAAGTGGGACACAGCAGCTTCTGCTCTATGCTGATGATATGAATCTACTGAGAGATAATGTAGATACCATAAAGAAAAACACAAACTTTAATTGACACTATTTGGCCTGGAAGTGAACGAGAGGAAACTCAGTATAAGTTGCTGTCTCGTCACCAGAATACGGGACAAAATCATGACATAACGATAGGAAACAGATATTTTGAAAATGTGGCACACTTCAGATATTTGGGAACAACAGTAACAAATCAAAACTTGATTCAGGAGGCAATTAAGAGGAGATTGAATTCGGGTAATGCTTGCTACCATTCAGTCCAGAACCTTTTTCTTCCTGTCTGCTGTCTAGAAACATAAAAATTATAGTATACAAAACTATAATTTTGCCTGTCATAATGTATGGGTGTGAAACTTGGTCTCTGACATTAAGGGAGGAACATAGACGGGTGTGTTCAAGAACAGGATGTTGAGAATATTTGGACCGAAGAGAGATGAAGTTAAGGGAGGTTGGAGAAAACTGCATAATGAGGAGCTTCATAACTTGTACACTTCACCAAGTATAATGAGAATAATCAAGTCAAGTAAGATGAGATGGGCAGGGCATGTAGCACGAATTGGGAGGGGGTATTGGTGGGAAAGCCAGAAAGAGAGAGACTGCTAGGAAAACCAAGATGTAGGTTGGTGGATAATATTATCATGTGTTAGAGTGACTGTAAACAGGGTTTGGCTTGGTAATTGCATTTATTGGACTCATTTACAACTTGTGACTACACTTTATAATTCACTATCATGTACAGACAAGTGGCCACAATCACGTCTTCACTAGCCATTGCTTGGTAGCAACTTCAAGAAGTAAATGTCCCCCTTCCCCTGGATTCCTGAACTGTCTTAGTGTCTCAGCTACCAGCTTCTAAAAGTGACAGCTCACAAGGGCTGAACCTCAGCAGTTCTCTAACTAACTCACCAACCAACTACTTCACTTCAATTCATTCCACTCCACTAAACTGCACTGGCTAACTTTAACAAATTGCCCTGGTTATAACATTTCAACACAGACCACATAGAAAATATTGTTCCTCATTGTTCTAGTTCATTTGTTGCCCTGGAAACATGTTTGTTTGTGAAGCCGTTACTCAGCAATGGCTGCCATGTATTTGCTTATTTTGTGATTGTTGCCTAGCAGTGAACGTTGTTTATAGATTCATTTCTTAGCAATGGGCATGCATGCTACAATATTAAAATTGATTTTAGAGAGATAGGATAGAGTGGTATGGACTGGATTGATGTGGCTCAGGATAGGGTCCGGTTTTTCACATATTGATTTATAGTATTACAGAGTTGCAAAATTACATATTGAAGGGTTCAGATTTCGAAAAAAGCATGTAGTTCCGTTTCATAGATTTACATTTTTATGTAATTCCTATTAATATGATCACTCTGAAAGATCGTGTGAAATTTGAGGTTCTCATGGTGGTGAGTAGTTAAGTAGGTAGATATCAACATTCCTGAGGATCCTGCTGCCAAGTTCAAGGTAGATCCCTGAAATGGAGTTAGCAAGTTCCTCCAAAATGTTTGTACCTGTCTACCCAACAATATGATGTAACATCCCATAAGACCATAATCTTAATAAAGAAATATTCTGTCACAAATTCATGGTAGATTCATAGTAACAGTAGGCCGAGTTAATGGGTTCGCGTTAGGTATCAGTGTTGTCATATTTTGCAGAAGAAATAGGAAATAAGTTTGCAAAGTTATGTTTAGAAGGATTGACATCCCAAGAAGATCTGTATTCTAGATTTCTAAAGACATTTCCTGTGTTTGATGTATTATCCTGTTTTCATTTGGATTAAGTGAAAAATCTTCATTTTAAAAGTATTAAATGTTTAATTTTCTGAAATGCGGAGATGTTCTGTCATTTGAAAAAGTCTGTACCATCATTAAGCGTGCAAGATCTTTTCACTTTATTGTAGATGAACATGTTGTGTTACATAATTTGACTGTTTCAAAGTGGATTACCACCTGCTGGTGCTTGTTGGGTTGCAGGAGGAACTGAACAGGGGAAAGCCAAACTGGGAGCACCTGAGCGATGAACTGCATGTTCTGATCACAGTGGAGGACACAGAAAACAGAGCCACCATGAAGATGCAACGAGCTGTTGAGGAGGTTAAGAAACTCCTGGTTCCCGTGGTGAGTGGATTCCAACTTAGTGCCAGCTTTGGCTGGCACCCATTCTTTACATAAATCATCATAATTCTGTGTTACTATTGGGAAACTTTGATGGGTCTTCATCTGCTCAGAAACAAGTGTCATGCACATTAAGACATTCTTGTATTCACCCTGTTGTGATAATAAGTCTTCATTATGACTTGAAATGCCAACCATATGAAAGTAATATTGATAGTCCATCATTATTATATTAGATTTCATCTTCAGCAATGAATATTAAGGTTACAGTCTTCTGGAGTATGACATCACAGAGTTTGATAGGTAGGTGCCATATTTCAGAGGAACCTTTTGGCTCCTTTGCCTCTTCAGAAGACAGAGGCAGCAGGTTCTGTCAGATGTTGTTCCCACATATGCAGGACTAAAATTAAATGGTGTGGTGGTGTAGCATTCAGTTGAAAGAAGCTGAAATGACTCATGGTACAGTGTTTTTCTCATTCCTACTAATGATAGCTTTACACTTTTAAATGCAGAACTGAAAGATAAGCAGCTTAAAAAATTCACACATCTAAAGAGGCTTTTGCTTCTGTCTCAAACAGAGAGGTTAGAAATTCAATACGCTATAGTATTTTTGATATCATTGTTTTTAAAATAAGTGCCAAGGCTACACCTCTTCACTCAAAAATAACTTATGGTGCCACCCTGGACATCCCTGATTGGTACCTGTCTACAGGACTATAGTGTCACATCGCAAAAAGCCATAATCATCAGTATTATGCCCTACAGTATAGTTTTAAGAATTTTATATATGTTTTACTTGTGATATGAAGAGTACTGCCGAAAAAGGAAAGGAAAATATGTTAATTTCTGTAGTTAGGAAAATTGGTTTCTTATTTAGAAAAGAAAACACTAAAAGTATATAGAAAAAAAACTGTGTAAAATGTACTACACAAACAATTTTATCATCCCCCCTCCTTGTTTTGGGAGCAGAAAACCTTCCTGGATGCCACATAATAATGTTTTGAAATATGTGGCCTCTGCAGAATTTGCTGGGAAATTTCCTATATAAATGAGTAAAAATTTAAAAAATCTTAATGTACCTTTTCTGACAGAATTTTTATAGCTACAGGTTTTAAATGTAATGTAATTAAATAATTATATTGTAGCTGAGCGAATGATCTGGTATAATATGACCAGAGGATAAAGAAATCTTCTCACATGGTGAACATGTAATAAGATAATGCATTATTTGTAATGACTATGGCAATAATGAAGAGATGGTGTTTTTTTTATTGTGGCATCTGTAACAGTATGAGTCCCTTCAGTAGTACTGCAAAGTATAGTAAAAATGATGATTTATGTTGAAAGTGGTAGCAAAGGTTCTTTGCATATATGTAGTATACATGTAATATTTCAGTGGAAGACATCACTGCACTACTGCAAGTTCTATAGTAATTTCATAACAATCATAATTTAGCTTGTGATTATAATATTCTCGCATTTGATAGTAATGCAGACCAAGCAAGGTAATCCACTTGTCTTCCTGCCTGCCTCTGTGTGTATGATGCAGTAACTGATTGATTAGTAAGGGAATAATTCAGAGTGCAGCATTAAGCAAACCACTTCATTTCACTTGAAGTGCAAGACTGCTATGGGCTGATCTTACTCGGGGGATGAGCAATAGGCAGCAGTGCAGAGGTTGTTTAACTGTCATTCCTATAATATAATGTATTCTAAAAGGCATTAAATCAGTTTTAGATTATTTAACATTGCTATGCACTGCAGGGGTTATATAGCATCAGTTAGAATTTGAGTATGATCATAAACGGTGAGTACATGCTGAGTTGGAAGGAGGCCATCGTAACCTGTTAGAAGGTTCTGTCCTGCCATTCACCCGTAGAACTGAGGATGACTGCAAGGGCCTCAGTCAGGATATCTGGTGGCCTGCCCAAGATTTGTACCAGCTGCCTCCTTGACTATGTTACCATACCAGTACCATAAATGTAGAAATATAGATGTGGTTTGTATTTTATAAAACATGAAACTAATTCAAATGAAACCTATTTGGGCATAAATCTGAATAACGGAGTAGAGGCTGTAAAAAATATTCTCCATGGGCATTGCATCAGACATCCCACTGATTCCTTCTGAGGACAACTCCCTGGACTGCTGCTGGAACCACTACACCATCATGGCCATGATGTTTTTGTCTGGCCCAAATCTACAGGGTTCGTCCGAAAAGTAATGTCAGTGAGTCGTTTAAAAAAACATTTATTGATTAGATTGGTACAACACATTAAAAGGCTTCAAAATAGGCTCCTTCTGTGCCGATACATTGCTTCCAGCGAGATTTCCAGGCATCGGAGGCGTCATGGTAGGCCTCCTCCGGAATGTCCTTTAGAGCCTTGGTGCAAACCTCTTTGACTTTGTCAACTGTCCCAAAATGATGTCCTTTCATGGGAGTTTTCAAGCACAGAAACAAAAAGAAGTCTGGGGGAGTCACGTCAGGACTGTAGGGTGGCTGGGGAACCATTGGCATCTTCGAATCGGTCAGGAAGCGGGTCACGAGGAAGGCGGTGTGGGCTGGCGCATTGTCATGGTGACGTTTCCAATTGTCCGCGATGTCTGGCCAGATGCAATAAACCCTTCGTTTGAGTCCCTTTAGCACTTCCATGTAGAATTTGGCGTTGATGGTTGTACCATGTGGTACAAACTCATGGTGGACGAGCCCCCTGATGTCAAAGAACACAATGAGCATGACCTTAACCTTTGACTTGCTCATTCTGGCCTTCTTGGGGCGAGGGGATGCCGAGGTGTGCCACTCGGCACTTTGCCTTTTTGTTTCGGGGTCGTACTCAAACACCCAAGTCTCGTCACCTGTGATGACATTGTCTAAAAAGTGAGGGTCACTTTCACACAAGTCCAAAAGTTCTTGGCACGTTTCAACTCTGCGCGATTTTTGGTAGTCCGTTAACACTTTGGGCACCAGCTTTGCGCACACTTTTTTGCATCTGCAAATTGTTTGTCCCAATCTCGTGAACGGTACTTTTTGGGATGTTTAATGTCTGTGCCATTAAACGAACACTCAAACGACAGTCTGAGTTCAAAAGTTCTCTCACATGCTTCACATTTTCGTCGGTGGTGCTTGTCGATGGCCATCCAGCGCGGGCTTCATCGCTGACCACTTCACGGCCTTCTAAAAAGGCCTTCTGCCACCAGTAGACCTGACGTTCCGACAAACAATCATCACTGAAGGCCGTCTTTATCATGGGAAACGTTTCCACTGCAGACTTGCCATGTTTCACACAAAACTTGATGGCAATCCTTTGTTCCAAGGAGCACTGCATTGCGGCTTGCACGGGAGACAAAAACGAGTTTCACGGAAAAGCCTTTCATCACTCTCAGGAAGTTAAGAGACGACTAAGCGACCACGCGTTCATAAGCTGACTTCCCCCTCCACCGATCCCAACTGGTCTGAGCGCGCTGTGACGTATAGTCACTTCACAATAAAATCACTGACATTACTGCTTTTTTGAGGGGTCATATTCATGAAAGTCAGTGGTGGCAGGTTCAAGCTACATGGGGGATAGCCCAACATCTTGAAGTACATCAGGCAGAGAATGTCTGGACTGTGCTGGCCACATGGGAACATTTGTTCTTGTGCAGCACAATGGTGCCTCTCTGTGTGGGTGTCAGAATGCTTTTGTTTGATGGGGATGCCAGGGCCCTTGTATGCCAGCATCAGCAGGAACTCTGTTGCTCCTGTGTGGGCAGGTTCTGCACCTTAAACGATGACATTTAAGTGCATCATACTTCCATTTTGCTGTGACACGGCTGTTCTGTTCCACCCCTCATGGTCAGTTGCTGTTGTATCATGAGCACAGCCACAGCCTGATCACCTGTGGCTGACCATATCCACTAGCAGCACTGTGAATGGGTTTCATTTGAACAATCTTCATATGAGGAAAGTAATTTATATGTATTCTGTATGTCTGTAATGTGATTAACTTTGAAGCAGAATATTTATGTTGGCAAAAAATAAGCTTCAATGCCAATGAGAAATGTGAAAATGTAATTAGTACATTTGAAAAATACTTGTGTTCAGTATCAGAGTACACCTTTCCACTTTATGTTGGGGCATGTAGAAAGGGGTGGAAATGTACCTATTTTCTGGAAATATTAGAATAGAAGATCTTTTATCCAACTATGAAAGGGTGCAAAAATGATGGAAGGAAAGTAACAGATATTTCATTCACAAAGCAGCTAAGCCTTAATACATTTCCAAGTCAGTGTCATGCTTCAGTCGAGAACAGTAACCTGTCTTGACGTTGCCTCTTCTTTAATCATTTCAGGCTGATGGAGAAGATGAGCTCAAGAAGAGGCAGCTGATGGAACTGGCCATCATAAATGGAACGTACCGAGATTCAAGCATCAAAGTAGCGGCAACAGCTGCAGGTATTCATATTGTTCTCGTCTGCTCAATTTGTTGCTTGTGATGGGAGCATTATTTACTTCATATGGGCCTGATATTTCACAAAGAATACCTTGGGGTAATATTATCTTATTTTCCTATTAAACTTCCAAAGTTATTTCATTTAAGTGTCATTGTGGCTTTCCTCTTGGTAGGTTTGTATGCAAGGTAGTTTGTATTCTAATGATGTCCCTTTACAGACACATGTATGAGATGTCTCAGCCAATCCTGATTGATGGTTGTCTGAAGATTGTGTCCTAGCCGTGAAGTTATGTGAGGATTATCTGTGTATCAGCCAATTTGGAATGATAGTTGTGTGAGGATTATCTGTGTATCAGCCAATCTGGAATGATAGTTGTGTGAGGATCATCTGTGTATCAGCCAATCTGGAATGATAGTTGTGCGAGGATTATCTGTGTATCAGCTAATCTGGAATGATAGTTGTGCGAGGATTTTCTGTGTATCAGCTAATCTGGAATGATAGTTGTGCGAGGATTATCTGTGTATCAGTCAATCTGGAATGATAGTTGTGCGAGGATTATCTGTGTATCAGCCAATCTGGAATGATAGTTGTGTGAGGATTATCTGTGTATCAACCAATCTGGAATGATAGTTGTGCGAGGATTATCTGTGTATTAGTCAATCTGGAATGATAGTTGTGTGAGGATTATCTGTGTATCAGCCAATCTGGAATGATAGTTATGCGATGATTATCTGTGTATCAGTCAATCTGGAATGATAGTTGTGTGAGGATTATCTGTGTATCAGCCAATCTGGAATGATAATTGTGCGAGGATTATCTGTGTATCAGCTAATCTGGAATGATAGTTGTGCGATGATTTTCTGTGTATCAGCTAATCTGGAATGATAGTTGTGTGAGGATTGTCTTAAGATCAGCCAATCTGTAAACATACTTGTGTGAGGACTGCCTTTATAGTAGCCATTCCTGAATGAAGGCTGTTTAAAAATCATTGATTTAGACTGATCTCATCAAGAATATTTTTATGTGCAATTAACTTGGCATTTATTTCTTTGTGCAGGAATGTCACTGCTCCAGTATCATTTCTTTGGTGTTCCCCAGTCCCTCCAAGCACATTTGGGGCAGTGCTATACAGAGCACCATGCCTGTTACCTCTCATACTACCACCCATCCATCTTGCAGATTCATATATCATTTGACACTGCATTATCTTAGCCCTCTATACTGCAATATAAAGTAACAGAATAAATAATTACTCTTATTGTAGGATATCAAAGGGAGGAGGTTCTACTTATTTTGCTTGTCATTCGGGTAGGTAGGGAGGGAGGCAGAAGAGTGTTACTGCGATCCTGAAATGAATTACCCTTTATCACATCAGTAAGTGGAAGTAATTTGAATCTGTTTGTCATAGAACGTGACTTTCATTGTGCTGACTGTTTCAGCTTGTGATGAAGAATGGCGACGGCTCACAGCAGCTGCAGCAGAGACACAGCGACTGTTGTCTCCAGGGATGCCAGGCTTGGCAACACCCATACGTAATCCAGCAACACCACTGGGTGCACCACTGATCTTGTCCCCAAGGCTCCCGGTTCCCACAACAGCGGCTTCCCTTCTGAATGGGTCAGGTCACCAAGGGCCACTTCTGTCGCCCCATGATCCTCATGGTCTAATTTACACACCATATGCTGATTATGCCAACTACGCAGCGCTGGCAGCATCTCCTCTTCTTACAGATTATGCCACAGCAGAACACTCGGGTGGGTTGTTTGCACGTTGACATTGACTCCCCCTCTCCCCCATATCCCTGGCGGTGGAGAAAACCTTTATAGTCTTAGGCCTAAGCTTTACTCGTCACATCGAACCACTCGTACGTTTGCATGTTGGCAAAAGTTCTTGCCATATCTCTCTCCCCTGTGCTTGTGGAGAAGCAGCGTTGACTTTAGGTTCAAGCTTTACGTGTTGCCATGTGAAATGTTTAGCCACCTATATGTTGGTGAATTCAGCACCAGCTTCTGCCCCCTTGCCTTGTGTTGAGACCAGGTACTCAAATTTTAGCTGTCTGTGCAGCACCCCAACGCTGAAGGAATCAACTTGTAAGCTTATGTAATTGTAGAATATCATTAGGTGTGATTCAGATATCAGCAAGAACTGGTGTTTGCAGTATATTTTTTTATTTTATATTTGCATAGTATATAGATGTCTTTATCTCATTCATTATATGAAAGATTTACTGCATTTTTAGCCAGATTTTATGGAACTAGTGGGTTTTGTACCAATATTACTTCATGTTGATTCTTTCCTCAGCCAACAGACTCTGTGGTGAGTGGGCAGTACATGGTAGTAGCAGTTATTCATGATCGTTACTTTTCACTGTTAGTGCAGCCATCAAAGTGAGGCCATTTTGAAATAATTGCCTATGATATGTGGTACATTCACGTTCCAAGAACATTGCACAGTGTATGACTCATAGGTTCCCAGTACACTTTCACATGAACAGTAAATTAATTCAAATATTGCTCCAAGAGTAGTAACTGAGATTTATTAACACTCCCTTAATATGATATTTATACATCTGTATAGTTTCTCTGATGTAAATCCCGTCCTCCTCAGACATTTATTGCATTTATCATATTATAAGTGAGTGGCTGAAGTGTGATGTCTTTCTTGACTATAGTATCATTTCAAGTATTCACAGTGACTGAGATCTGCAAATTTTAATGGTATTGTTCCCAGTTTATAGTGATAAAGGCAGTATGAAATGAAACATGAGATAGTATATGCAGATATCCACCAGGTCGTTTAATCTCCTTTTATTTATAGCAGGTTTTGTTTTTTAAGGATTATGTCAAGTTCATGTTATTATAGAATGATGGCCAAAATTTTTGCCGCAAAGCACATGACAACTGGAGTCTGGTACCAGAAGCACAAGAGTGGGTATTTTTAGTGTTGAGAGTTGTAGATGCAAATAGAAATTTCTCTATACTCTGGCTCTCAAAATTTTAAGTCATTCTCAATTTCTCTCGGTTTGTTACATTGACTAACACAGTAGTAAATATTCCCTTGTTTAAGATACGTACTGAATAGTACATTTGGGCTAACAAATGGGGATGTAGTGGCCGTAAAGGAAATACATTTACCAGATTAGACAGATCTGTTAATTGAATTATGTTTGAGAGCGTGGTGCCGAGGAATGTACAAGGCAGAAAGAATTGGGATGCTAAAGAAAATTACTAGGAAGATGAAGGAAGAGATGGCCATGGCATTTACTGTGCATGGGAGAGAAGAGAAATAGGAAAACCTGAAGGATGTAGGCCACTGAGAAACCCTAGGCTATAGATGGGAGAATTTTGTCAAACTGATCTTGAAGAAATAGGACAGGAGATTGTGGCTCAGGACAGGAACCAGTGGCAATCTGTTGTGAATGATAATGAATCTTCAGATCCCATAAAATGCTGCTAATTTCTCGACTAGCTGAGCAGCTGTAAGCTTCTGATAAAGGACTCTGCTCTGTTTAATTGGTTAAAGTAAATAATTGAATTTGTGTTCAAGGTATACTTTGTTTGAATGTTACTAGTCAGCAGAATAAAAGGCCTTATCTTTTTTTTTTAATTCATTTACTAATTTTGTCATATAGTATTCAGAATAAAATATCACTGTCATATTTTGACATTTTGCAGATATTTAGTTTGTGCTTTGGTACCAGACCTCATTGTAATAATTTTGTTGGCAAGAATGGCCTCACAGTTTCTTAAAATAATTTTATAATGCTCTTTCAGAAGCACATGTTTGATATAGGCGAAATGCTGATTGTAATATTTTCAAAATATGCATGTCTGAACCTAAAGGCGAGTGCTAGCAGAAATGTCATCAACATTGTAACATTTCCCTTTGAACATCCTTTCTGTAAAGGCTCTGTCAAAATCACATTCATGAAGAAATTATGAACAAAGTAAATTTAGTGAATGCCTGAATGGAAGAAGAACAACCAACTTGACTGGATGCCATGAACAGTGTTCTATTGAGCATGCGCCCAAGTTTTGAATTTTGAGATTTAGCATGTGAGAAATCTCGCTCCAGATTCAGACATCAATTTTTCAGTCTGAAACTTTGAAAATATAGCATAACTGCTTTCCCTTTGTGCAGCAGAGCACAGGCAGCCCAGCCCATCAGAAACTTTATGGCTGGAAACCCTAGCATGAATCAACTTGTCAACAGAATCTCTCCTTTCTTGCTCCCACTCTTTCTACCTGTGGTGAAATAAGATAAGCCGCAGTATTAAATTTTCCTTGAATACATTTATAAGATGTTTCATCATTAATGGATCTGATATCACAAGTGGTTAGGACACTTTAAGTGGCTGGTGTAATAAATTGGGATTACAATGAAGAATTTGATCTAGTAAAGAAAAATGTTGTCTCAGTTATCATGTATCCCCCCCCCTCAAAATTCTTGTCTTGATTGTATCTCAAACTGGAAGAATCATTCTTGCACATGCCTCGTTTTTATCCCTTTGGTAAACAAGCAGTCAGGAATGGGGTTAATCATAGGAGCCATGGTTTCCAAAACAACAAAAATATGGACACAAGTGGCACAATTAAATTATTTGTCATCTCAATTTTTCTTTTTATCATTATCCTTCTCCTTATGAGCCAGGATCTCTCATTTGGCATAGCAATGGGCAAGCAGGGGCAACATTTCTTTCTCTACTGCCCAGCATCCAAACTGGCTCTGAGATTCACCCAACCTCCTGTTCAGTGGGTACTGGCGCTAAGGCACCTGGTATGTAAAGCTGACCACACCTCTCCTTAGATCCCAAATCAAGAATGGTGGAGCTATGCCTCCATTCTCTTGTGATTCTTCATGGCATAGTGCTGTATTAATTAAGAACAGGGACAACTCTGCTTCTGTTTGTCTGTTGTGGGATTCATAAGCCTGAGTGTGACAGAATACAAATAACTTCTTGTGCTTCACAGTTGTATATTGAGGATGTTAAAGGGTTATGGCAGGGTATGCACTGACTCAGTGGTTTTGCCCAGTTGTGGCATGGTGGGATGAAACCAATCTTTAACAAATTTAGTCAAGGTGTACAATGTACAGATTAATTATTTGTTTTTAAATTTAAAATGCTTATTGAAATGTGTTTGGTCAGTTATTCTTTGCTTCTATGTAGTCATCTTCTAGTCCGGTGTTTATGTTTACTGAATTCGCTGAAATGATTCAGTCAGTATTTTTGCCTATGCCATTAATGTGCTTCTGTTTGCCTGACATAATTCAACTTCTCTATTAAAAGTGGTATTTGAACATCACATGTACTTAAATACTCTCTAATGTGAGCACAGCTTCTGTAAGCAGAAGTTTAAGGGTGTGGTTAGAAGTTGTACGGACGTGTGTCAAGATCTCCGTTGGTCATTCCAGAGCAGCGGTGGGTCACGGTTGGGGTGTGAACCACTGGTTGCATGCGCGATGGCCTGACCAACGGTAGCCCATGCTTGTAAATGCATGGCACGAAGAAGCAGCCCCACCAAGGTCTGCTGTCTGCCAGATTGAACAATGAACAACAATATCGAGATTTCTGTTGTTATGCTCCCCAATTATTGCTTGGCAGGTGTTTCTAATGTTTGGATTGTTTTAAAAGTTGTACAAGCATAAATCCGCTGCATATCAAGTTGTTGCATGTTTAATCAAATGCCTTTTATAAAATGTGTAAGATACTTCCAAATAAAATGCTCAAAGACATAATAAGTGAACGACTTTAGAATTTTCATCCACACCCAGCAGAAAGGAAACAGCAGAAGAGAATTTGAGATTTTATGTTCTCATGGAGACTACTGAGAATGCAGTCTTCTGGCCTGTACACCATGTATTTTGGAAGAAGCCTTTTCCAAACTACACAGCATTACAACACAGAAGATCATACCATTCAAACGCCACTGTGAGAACCTCATATTCACCATTAGATTATTGTTTGCTGGAAAGTGATACTGTGTTGTTTGGTAAATAATTGCCAAATTGTACTGCGTCACATCCCAGAAGACAGTAATCCGTGAGAATATTTTAAGTATGTTGCCAGTTTTACTGATAGATGTATGTTTATTTTATTTTCTGTGAGGGAAACAAAGCATCTGTTTATAACATACATTTCTCATACATTGAAACTAATAACAAAAGTATCAAAGATTATGTAATCATCATCATTATCTAAAGTATGGCTTAAGAAAAGTGAAATGATACCAGCCATATAATCGTTCGTCTTAATGATTTGAAACTGATTATTGATGGAATTAATTATATGTCTTTGAGCCATATTATTTGAAGTTTTCAAGACATACCTGAATAGCATTATAATTTTTCGTTGTGCTTCAATTAGATAGCCTGATAAGTGTTTTGGAAGTTATGTTTCATTTGCATGAAATTCAGCAGAGAAGCATACTGTAGATATTCAATAATATTTGCTCATGCAATATTGGGAAGTGTAATAATATTCATGTGAGAACTTTGATCATGCAGGATTGTTCCAGTGTGATGATTTGTTTTAAATATTTGACAGTGCAGGTAACCGTAAAGAAGAACATAAACATTAATGATAAGTTCATGTTTCTATATACAGTATAAATATTTATATAAATCTTAGAAAAGTGTTAGTGATATATAGGAGAATCATCCAAGTTAAGACTTAGGATAAGTGATGTTTTGTTTTCATTTAGTGAAGGAATTTTTTATATATTGTATGATTGGTGTATGTCTTATATAGTAAATGTGCGCTCTCTTGGTGTGATAAGTTCGTAGGTTTTGAATGTTTTTCTGTATGAAAGTTGAATGTATGTGATAATGTTTTTATTAAGATTTTTCTATATAACTTTTTTATTGTACAAGTATTACAATGAAGACTTTCAGAATGGTGATGGGTGTTAAAGTATTTATGGCATTGGAAGTATTAGTAGCTACTGTAGAGCCCATTTTAAAGAAATACAATTAAAGTTGTATAAAAATCAAATATTGGTGATGGGTAAACAATTTCTGTTTATTTATATTATGATTTCATTTTTTTTTAACAGAATTAACACATAACATGGGTAATCTGTTTAGGAAACACGAGAGTGGAAACCACAGTCATAGTGCCCTCCTTTAATGTCTGCAGTAAAACACAGTAACAAACCCCTTGTGAATTTTACGAGACTGAGTGCCTGACATCTTAATAACAACAAGCTTGAGGGACCAAACATTTGTCTGAAAGAATGATCTATTGCAGTCTTTTATTAATTTCCCATCTTAATAATCCATAATTTGGTAATTACTTTACCCATAAAGTTAAAGATAAAACAGCTATTGATACTGCTGTCTTCACATTAATATTAATTAATAATATTAATACCATATTAATAAACAGAATGTTTGGTTGTGTGAGTGAGTGGTAGCCAAAATGGTGTTATATAGTTAATTGTGCAGCAACAAGCAGATTTCCTAATGGTATTTTGAGTTGTCAGAATTCTAATAGGATTTGACATGCCAAACATGTTGTGGATTACAAGCTGTGGTATGACATAACAAGGCGTGACATATCATGACATCATGTGTCTTGAGGATGTGTGGCCTCTCTGATGTGGTAAACATTTAGTATTATCTGTGAGCTGAATACCATTGAATTGTTCAACACAGTAATATGACAATAGTGCCATAAGAAAGTTTTTTTTACCCATATTAAGGTGCTCTTATTTTTCTTATTTAGTGAGTTTTTATTTTTTGAGGATGAAATCCATTGCTTAGAGCAACAATTATAATTTGTAAAAATGTAGACAAATTTAATTATTTTGAAACAAGGAACATAGAATGATTGAATGCAAACAGAGGAGTTTTACATTGCTTATTTAAAAAAAAAATGGCATTGCTGTTTATTAAACTTTATTCCACCAAAAGTAATATTAAATAAAAATAAAAGTCCATCAGAGTAAATTACCAAGAAGAAGGCTGCAAACAGAGCTGTAGGTTCTTGCTTGGCTTTCTGTTCACACTGAAAAGGAACATGATATTTTCTTCCAAAACATCGGTTGACTTCTGTCAACCTATATATCCTTACAACCTTGAAGTTCATACTCTGCATAGAACAAAATGTTGTTGCTCTTTTGAGTGTGGGATCAGAAATGAAACCCTTGTTAAAGGCCCAGGGTCTAACAGTATATTTTATTCACATAACATTGCATATCTTTGCAGTTTTATCCTACTACTCCATTTGTTTGTTTGTTTGTAACAGTGAATACTGATCTTGCATTGTAGCTCCTTAGGGCACGGTTATATCAAAAGAATGTGACCAATACTGAAACATAAAGAAATTGATACTTAACAAACTTCTAAATTAAAAAAAAAAACTGGAAGAAATAGTGAATTCCAGAATTGTGCAANGTAGATATGTAAATGCATTATTTTATATTTTATTGAGTTGCTATGATGGCTGTATTTACAGTGCAAAACTTTTTTTTATCTTCAGCAGACACCTTGCAATCAACAGCACTGCCATTTAACACACAATTCAGAAATCAGCCTCTCTTGATGTCCCTATCTTGCTTGGAGGGCATGTCTATTATGTGGCCCAGGAACTCTTTCCTGTTTAGTTATGGTACACTGTATGTCACTACTAGAGTTATACATCCCGTGTCTTACATTGTCATGAGGGCCCTGTGCTTGCATTTTCATAGTATGTGAAAGTGTAATTTGTGCACTGCCTTTGTATATATGTAACATGTTTCAGGTGCAGTTACAGCCCTCTTGTAGCAGTCATTTCTAGTTCTTAGTTATTTTATCTTGCAAGAAAATTCTAGGTCAAAATTTATTCTGAAAGCTGAAGCCATCGTGAAGCTTCAGTTTAGCTGCTAACATGAAGAGTCTGCTCTTTTCTCTCTCTCTCTNTGTAGATCAGTGTTTCAGGATTTTATGCACGTATCAAGAGGCAGAGGTTGAGAAATGAGTCTGCCAAGGTGACTAGGAAAGCTGGAAAGCCTAGAAGCCAATAATTCTGTGTACTCTTCATTCTGTCCAGTGTTTTCGGGAACCTTTCCGTGATCCAGTGAACAATGCATTTGAAACTTTATATTGGCTTTTTGCTAACATGGTTAACACATTACTAAGACTGTAGCTTTTAAACGGGGAGGAACTTGAATGCAAATAATTTCTCTTCAAGGCATTTACAAGTTGAAGATATATATAGCAGTGACTGTTTCCCTTGTAATTTATGAAGTAATTTCTTTTTTAATAGTATCAGCATTAAGATTTTTAACAAATTCCCAGCAACTATATACATTATAGTTTTTATAGTTGCATATATTCCTGTTTGTGCTTTGCAAGTAATGTGCACCTTATATGTTAGTCCACCGTTGCTATAGCTTCATCCTATAGAAATATGAAGTAATTATAATACTAATTTGTATATTTAGTTCACTTCACTCCATATTCTTAATTAACCCTTTTAATATTCTGTTTTCCCACAAAGATTGATACCCTCATCAGGTAGATTGTGTATAGTCTTGTATGAACCATAGCAATGCATGATATATAAAGCTGTTGTGTTGATCTACAAGAACCCAGAATGATAATGTAAAGGAGATTCGTGTGTGTTACTTAATTGGAACTAGATGCAAGTCTGAGCCTGAGACATGATGTGACTCTGCTGTAGGAAAATCACTGGAGTCATGTGCTTTAAAACAATTTGTTTTTCTGTGCCTGTGTATCCAGGTGCAGCAGCTAAACGGAGGCACTTGGGTCAGTTACGGGAACATCCGTATCAAAGGTCTGGGGCCCTTTCATGAAAAATCTGTGCCCGTGTGGCAAGGTTAGTTTCCATTGTTATTCATTCGGTACCTCTATACTTCTTGATTGTGTATTTGTTGTGGGTGTTACGTTGCAGTAGGATAAAGTCTGTGTGATTGACTTCAGTTCTTATTTCTCATCTTTTCTCTCCTCTGCTTTGGAAGCTGCTGTTATGTGATGACATAGTATGGTGAATTTTAAGTGTGAAATGTTGCAAAGAACATTGCTACTTTAGAAAGAAAAATTTCTGATTGTTATCTTTTGGCTTGTGACACTGTAACCATGTGCATGGATATGAGAGTCTCAGGGAAACATGGCTGCCCCCATCTTCATGGAAAACCCTGAAGATGAAGTCACCATATTCCTCTGAAGTGCTGGTATCCACACACAAGACTAAATGATGTCACAACCCAAGATGATAAACTCTGAAAACTTAGAAAGCGAGAAAGAAAGTTACACTTTTGGGTTACCAAGAACTGTAAGCAAATTGTGTGGACTTTACTCTTACTTATACTTGTTGAAATATGCATAGAGGAAAGAAGGACATAATTGCTATTACAATTCTCTACGAATGTTTTAAGTTAAAATATTGCTGTTGTAAACATTACATATATATGTAACCAATTATATGCTGTTTCAGATGTTTGGTTACCGTAGCAAAGTAGAATGATAATTGAGAGTATAGAGAAGTATTTATTTTTTAAATGATCAATCACAGTCCATGTGATTTATTGCTATAACTAGTCTTGAGTGCATTATTTTTTACAGTACTTTTTTATTATTGCCCAAAGCTGGTCTGTGCAATCAGAAGTTAGATGGGAAGACTCTCTTAGGATTTTTTTTTCACATCATGAATTAGTTTTAATACCAGATCTAAAAGTAACTTTTACTAGTGGTTACAGAAGAGTAGGCATGTTTATGCTCAATCATTGCAGTAACTGAAAGCATACTGATTATTCTTGGATGTAAAAAGAATTATTGTACCCTGTAGGTTTACATATATTTATGACTATATTAGAAGATCATAAAATGGACACCAATTGTATTATTTTTTGTACTTTTTAAAAGGTTTTTTTATTTACCTCCCCCCATTCATGAAATATTTACTTCATATATTTTACATTTTTCTTCCAGTGATTACTGTTTTAGCATTTTGATATAGTATTTTTTTTCTGTTGTATGGTTGTGATATTTTATTTCCATAGAGTAACTGAATGATGGATGTTTGATATGAGGGGAAGTTCACAAGTTGGCCTGATGAGGTCACACACATGTCCTTCTTTCCTCAGATCACTTATTTGTATATTTTCGAAAAGGAGCATAAAATGTGAATGTCATAATTTTGTACGAACATGGTATCCTCCCTTGAAGGGGGGTGAAAAGCGTCTTAATATATTATTTATATTATTCTGTATATTCTTTCCAGTATATAAACTGTTCTGTATTTTGTTGACGTAGGCAACTTGTGCCCGTGGAACCACTATAAATGAAATTTTTTTTATTGGATATGTATATACTTGGTGCAAAACTCCAATCAGAAAATAAAATAAAATATCAGTAAAGAAGAAACAAACACACAAATTTTTATTATCTGTCGAGAATATCCGTTCTTATCATTCCCTATGCTTGCCACTTGGGATATGAGTTTGTGGGAAGGAGTGCAGCATGTCATGTTTCTAAAGCATTTGGGAGCAGAAGAATCCCTGTTCACTGAACTTTGCCTTTGAAACAAGTGCTGCATTGCTTGCATAAACCCATACCCTTAGAGGTCCTCGAACACATCTAAACTAATCATTAAAACATGTTTTTTCAGTTTGTCTGTGTGACAGCAACAAGATTAATCCTAAATGTCTTCACTTTTCGTATAACTAGATCTACAACTTCAATCTAGATTTTGAAGCATGGTTCACAAGTATTGATCCATTGTTATATGTTTACTGATGGGTCATATGCATGTGAAACTATTTTTTTCATCAAGTTTTCATTTTTGTTTATTTTTCAATTTTAACTAGTCTCTAGACTCTAATTGTATCTAGAGTTACCCAAATTAGTTACGAACGTGCTGTGCACAGTACCAGATAACTCAAGTAGCCTAACCATTTTAGCTCCACACGGTTCCCTCCTCGAGTTCCGAGAGCACTGCTTGGACCCGTGGCTGGGGAAACTAACCCTTTTTGTTTTGTTTTGTAAATGCAAATTTACGATACACACACTTTAAGAACTTTTATACCTTCCCTATTCTTGCACTAACTAAAAGAAACAGTCTCTCCACAAGGCCAAGTTGACACTAACGAACGGGCAACCATCTTGTATTAATTGCTTTTTAAATGCCTGACTTTCATGTACCAAACAACTTGTGTAAGTTCTATAAGATTCCTGCACAGGGATTGGATTCCACATGCTCCTATTGTTATTATAATGTAATCATTTTGGGTTGAATGTGATGATTGTCTGTGTATAATTAATAATAATAATGGTAATAATAATAATAACTTTTATTAATCAAACTGCACTTTGGGGCTTGTATGGGACTATTGATGGTGTATGTATTTTGTAGTTAGTGTAGTGTTCTGGGAGAAATTCTTGTCTTGTCGACTGCAGGGGGTTGTGTCTGAGTGACCAGTTGCCTTTTACTTGAACCCAACTTTCTCAGAAGGTTTTTGCAGATAGTGTATGTGATTTCTGTCACTGTTATGTTTCCCAAACTGTCACCCATTTGAGAGAACAAATGAACGTCATCCAACCATTAATGGTTATAGGAGAATGCTGTCGTGGTAAATTGCTCTTAGTGTTAACAAGAATTTTTTTTTCCGCATATTCTTTTCTTGTTCTAAAATTCACATCTACATTATAGATTTCTGTTTTAATTTTGTATACATTTTCAGCCTGCCATCATGATCTTCCCAGAACATTTTCAGTAGTGTCATGATAAATTGCTCATTTACACAGTAGTAATTTTATGACATAGATATTTTATATTTTCATTGGAGGTCCGTTAGATTTTCTTTTCATTATACTGAAAACTTAGCCTTAGGTTTATGTAATTAAGACTCCTGTTTTCTGGGATGTGACAGTGTCTGGTCGGTTGGACAGTTACTGATGTTTCAGAAGAACTGGCTTGCTCCCTACATCTCTTCATCCTTGAAGATGCAAGCAGTATGCTACTCTGAAACATTGTTGAGCCATCAGACTACAGGGCGTCACATCCCAGAAGGCCAAAATCTTAATGTTCATGTGCTTGACAGCATCAAATCTGTTCTGTATATTACTGTTTTAATTATCGTGGTTTTGAAAAATAACATGAATAATATGTGGTAGGGTTCTTAAACCAGAAGAGAGTATAATGAAAAGAGTTAGAATTTGTAAATAAAAAAAAAAAATCAAAATATCAAATAAGCACACTTGATTACCTCCTTACTCTGCCATGGGAATGTGAATTTTTTATTGGGCTGAAGTGCATCAACTAGAAAATAAATTTGTTGATGCTCAAACTGTACTGGGAGAGTTTTTATTTAAGTCCGTGTGGATGATATTAAAAATGTTGGAAAGTGTTACAGAGTGTAACATCACGTAAGGTG